TGTGTGGGGGGGGGGGGGGGCGCTGGCTGCTGGGAGCCGCCAGCGGGCCACCAGTGGCACGCCAGTGGCACGCCAGTGGCACGCATCTTTTGTGCGCCATGCTCACGTGCGTCGCTCCTGGCTGCCCCCTGCTGCCGCCCCAGCCAGCCGCCCAGCCCTCACGCGCCCTGCCCCCTGTGCTCCTGCCCCCGCCCGCGCCCCCCCTCCCCGCAGCCAGCGGTGGCGTGAGACGGCTGCGGAGAAGCGGGAGATGGACCGGCTGCAGGCTGAGATGGTGAACGAGGTGCGGCAGGCGGCGGAGGTGCACCGCCAGGTGCGCGCCTACGTGCGCACCATCGCCAAGCCGGGCATCCTCATGACCGACTTGTGCGAGAAGCTGGAGGACTCGGGTGGGTGGGGCTGGGGCTGGTGGGGGCCTGGGGTGGGTGGCTGTGTGGGGGAGCGCCTGTAGTGGGTGTCTGCGCGGCTGTGCGCGCCTCTGTGTGTTTCTGTGTGGTTGGGGTGGGCATGGCTGGAGAGGGCAGCGGCGCAACGGTTGACTGGGGCCGCCTGCTGGGCCCTTGCACGCCAGGGGGAGGCCTGCCCGCCGCCACAGTGCTGCGTGAGCCGGCTGCGCCGCCGCGCCCGACCATGCAGCTTCTAATGCCCAGGGAGCGGCTCCTCCACTTCCCCCCGGGCTTCGCTTTGCTGCTACATCGAACCGACCTATCAGCACTTTGGGGGCTGCTCTCCCACACCCCCATTGTCTAGAATGCGCCGAACATCCCGCCGCCGTCCAAACTCCACGCCATGCCCAGCCGCGTGCCACCGCGTCTGCCCCAACCATGCTCGCGCCTGCCGCCGCCCTGCCGCGCTCACCGTTGTGACGCAGTGCGCAAGCTGATTGACGCCAACGGCCTGAGCGCGGGCATCGCCTTCCCCACCGGCTGCTCCCTCAACTACGTGGCCGCGCACTGGACGCCCAACAGCGGCGACAAGACGGTGCTGCAGTACGACGACGTCATGAAGCTGGGTGGGTGGGTGGGCCGCCCCTGGGGGCGCGGCCGTGGCTGGGCTCAGCTGGGCGGCAGGCTGGCCGGCTGCGCTTGCGCGCCCTGGCAGCCGCCGCCGCTCGCCCTCCCCGTGCGGCCCCGCCCTCGCCCACTGGCGCGGCTACCGCTTGTGTGCGTGCGCTGCGCAGACTTTGGCACCCAGATCAGCGGGCGCATCGTGGACTCCGCCTTCACCGTGGCCTTCAACCCGCGGTACAACCCGCTGCTGGAGGCGGTACGGGAGGCCACCAACACGGGCGTGCGCGAGTCGGGCATCGACGTGCGCCTCTGCGACGTCGGCGCCGCCATCCAGGTGGGCTGGGGGGCTGGCTGGGCCTGGCTGGGCTGGCTGGCACAGCGGTATCGGATGCCCGGTGGCCTGGCCGCCTGCCTCCCTGATGGCCTTGCTGCCCCACACGCCCACCTGCCTGCCGCAACCTGCCTGCCCGCCATGCAGCCCTGCCCCCGCCCGTCGCAACCCGCCCCGCCCCGCCCCTCCTCTCCCCGCCCGCCCTCTCGCAGGAGGTGATGGAGAGCTACGAGGTGGAGCTGGATGGCAAGGTGTTCCAAGTGAAGAGCATCCGCAACCTGAACGGGCACTCCATCGGCCCCTACCGCATCCACGCCGGCAAGAGCGTGCCGATCGTGAAGGGCGGGGAGGCGACGCGCATGGAGGAGGGAGAGTTCTTCGCCATCGAGACCTTTGGCTCCACCGGTGGGCGCCTGCCTGCTGCCTGCCTGTGCCGGTGCTGGCGCCGGTGCCTGGGCCTGCCTGCCTGCCTGTCTGCCTGCCTGCCCGCCCGCCTGCCTGTCTGGCCTGCCGGCTGGGGGGGCGGCGGGGTGGCGGGGTGGGCGAGGGCGGGGCTTGAGGGGGCGGCGGCGCAGGCAAGAGCGGCAGCAGCTCGCCCGCGGGTGCGCATCCACGGTGCGCCTTGGGGGCCGCCCATATGCGCACGGCCCGTGCCCTCGCTGTCTCACGCTGTGCTGTGCTGTGGCGTGGCGTGGCGTGGCGTGCAGGCAAGGGGTATGTGCGTGAGGACCTGGAGATCAGCCACTACATGAAGAACTTTGATGTCGGGCACGTGCCGCTGCGCCTGCCCCGCGCCAAGCAGCTGCTGGCCACCATCGACCGCCACTTTGGCACGCTGGCCTTCTGCCGCCGGTGAGCCGCCCGCCTGCCGCACGCCCCTGCCCCACCTCCCCGCAGCCTGGCGGGCGCCTCGGGGCCCCCGCCGAGCCCCGCTTGCCGGCGCCTTCCTGGCCCCCACGCTTGCCTGTTGCCGGCCCCTGCCTGGCCCCCACACTGGCCTGTTGCCGGCCCCTTCCTGGCCCCCACCCCCCGCCCCACACCCCACACCCTCCCCCTGGCGCAGCTACCTGGACCGGCTGGGCGAGGAGAAGTATTTGATGGCTCTCAAGAATCTGTGCGACGCGGGGGTGGTGGACCCCTACCCGCCCCTCTGCGACACCAAGGGCTGCTACACCGCGCAGTACGAGCACACCCTGTACCTGCACCCCACCCGCAAGGAGGTGCTGTCCCGCGGCCCCGACTACTGATCGGAGCACCTTGCTGTCTGATTCTGATTGGAGGTGGCCGGTTTTGGTCCCTGGCGGCCACCTCCCCCTGCTCGTTGTATGCTTGCACTGCGCATCCCGGGTGGCTGCCGCGCTTCGCAGTACCAACAGCTGCCGTGGCACCCCACCTAATTGTGACGGGCAGCCGGATTTCGTTTGTCGGCTGCTGTCATGTTTACCCACACGGCTGCTATTCAAGGACTGGCAGGAGCGTACGGAAGGTCGAAGGGCAGGGCACATGCAGGGCGCAGGGCCACATGCCCTTGGTTGGGGGCTCCTGGGGGAGATTGACCACAGGGTTGCGCGTGGGCTACTTTGCCTTGCCTTGCCCTCACAAGGGCAAAGTTGGCTGCCTCCCCGCCAGGAGGTCCCCCAAGTCAGCCGTGTGTCAGTCCACTTGTTGTTGAGTAGTTGGGCACTCCTCAGATCTCATCAATGTCGATAGCGAACCTGCTGAACGTCAGCCCTGTCATGCTCCTGCCGGGAGTCGTGTCCAGCGGCGCCCGTCTGCTGTGCTCCCTGGCGGGGCCTCCTGTGTTTGCATGGCGCAACTTACAGGTTGCCACCGTGAACACATGTGTTGGATCGTCTGTTGAGAGCAAGTCTCACCGCACCGACTCCTGCCGTGCTGGCATACAAAGAAGAATATGGCAAAAGTCCCGGCAGTAGGCCGCGACAAAAGGGATGTTGGTGGGTATGGTCGAGGGGAAGGCGAGCGGAACAATTCAAGGACAGATGGGTGCAGGTCAAGGAGTTGATGTCAATTCAAAAGACTTCAAAAGTGCAAGATCGTCAATGGAAGGCGGGTAGGCTCCAGCAGGGACAGTCAGTCAGAGCGCAGGAGGAGTGTCAGCGAGGGTGCAGGGTTCAAAAGTGCTGAGACTCACGCTGGCGATAACACAGTAACTAGGCAGTGCCACTTGTCGGGACGCAAGCAGGCGAGCGGGCAGGCGATGCGCCTACTGCTGCTTGGCGGCAGGCACAGCAGGCGCAGCGCGGGCATCCGCCTGCAGCTGCAGCATGTGGCGCCGCACGCCCTCCGCCATGGCCGCCGTGTATACCCGCTCGCACTGGTACTTGCAGCCGTAGAACACTGCGGTGGGTGGGTGGGTGGGTGGGAGGTCA